CTTATATACATGTCTTTTTTAATAAATGAGGAGTGGTGCAAGGGGGATCCATGACCTTGTAAAGAATAGTCTGTGCTTTCTATCTGCTTTCTTATTTTTCTTCAATCCACATCTTATTTAAATCTATCAAGTGCCTAGCAGGATAGGTAAAAGCATGGATTTGAAATCAGACTGCTTGGATTCAAATCTTAGCTCTGTCATTGGCAAATTGTATGACATTGAATAAGAAACTTCCTAGTTTCTTCATCAGTAAAGTGAAAATTTAATTGTTTAAGAAGTGCTTGATGCATAGTAAACAGTATATAAATATCAACTCATGTTGTCATTGTGATATTATACCACTCCATAGAAATTTTGAAAAGGTCATTCTTGACCTCCTTGTTTGCTAGGTTTTCTGTAGCCCCTTTACCTTTGAGAATTTGACGTCCATTTTTACACTGGCAAATCCTGAAGCTGTCTCATCCATAATTCTCCCTCCTCAGTTTCCCTCCAGTATGAATCTTTTAAATGGACATTGATACAGATATAACCTACAAATAACTCAAACATGTTTACTAAGACTAGTCCCAGTCCTCTTTATTTCTTATACTTACTCTTGTAACTACAATTGTCCACCCAGTAACCCACGTTAAAACATGAGATTTATCCAAAGTTATTTTCACTCTTAAATAGCAGTTATATCCATTGTTTCCTCCAACAGGACATTATTCCAATACTCAGCATTTTTAAGGTGAACTATAAAAATATATGCCAAGTCATTCCTGTTGCATTATTTATCCTCTTCCAGCCCATTTAGTACACTGCTTCCAAATACATTGTTTTGAAAAGAAAAATGTGATTATAATATGTTTAAAGTTTGTTTACCATCCTCTGAAGAATAAAATTCATACCAGATCCTGATTACTTTTTTACCCAAAATTACTTTCAATTCTTAGAACTCATTAAGTTTCAAAACTCTTTGCACATATTATTACCTCTTCTTTAGTTGTCTTTCCTATACTTCCCCCTTTTCTTCTATCCCTTCCTCCTAGACAAAATATCCATTACACAGAATCATGAAAGTAAAAGCTGTCTTTGGTTTTTTATATCCCCTATATTTAGTATAATGCCTGATGTATATTAGGACATTGTTTCTCATGATTTGCCTGTGGATTTCCCAGTGTTGATCAAATGAAATAACTATAGAAATTGAAAATGGTTAAAATTTTCTATAGCAATCTGATAGAGCAATTTTATAGCTATTAAATCTAATTAAAAAATCAGACTTGGCTTTTGTATATTGTTTTTTAGTTTTAATTTTCCTACTGGTTTGTACACAAAAGTACCAATCTTTGATTAAGTAATTAAAAAAAAATTAGTCCTTCCAACACAAATGTTTTGAGAAACACTAATTAGAAAAATTATTACCAGAAATGTTTGGAATTCAACCTGTACCAGATTTATGATATTTTTAGAGCTGCCTAAACTCCAAAAGAACTCAATAATTTAAAAAAGAATTAAAGTATGTAATAAACAACTAAAAACTGAAACTTCTTGCAACTGAAAAAAATACCAACATAGAAAGTCCAAGAAATCTGATAATACTTGGATTGGGTCACCATGTTAGTCATAATTTGACAGGTCATACCAGCACTGCAATAAAAATAGTTCCTTGAATAATTTTACAGTGAATCATATGAGAAAATCCTTTTAGAACATATTTTATATACTTTCAGAGGCTTTTGAAATAATGATCTTTTCTTAATAAATACTTGTTGAGTGATTAGGTAAATTTGAAGTTTTCAGATTATGAAAATAGACATCTTCATAGTTCATGCTATCACATGATGTTTAAATTTCTATTTCACTTCAGCTTAATTATTATCAGTTATGGGCCTAGTGTAATGAAATGACAAAGAAATATATGGCTTGGTTATTTAGAATGTAATAAGTCAGTAAAACTTAAAAAAAATTCTGCTGCCCCTTCTTATATGCCCTTGCAAGAGAATTAAAGATTAATAAATCATATAATTCTTAATATTCAGTTACTTGAAAACATTTTTTATTGAATATTATCTGCAAGGGATTGAATACCAATATTACGTACGTTTGTGTGCACGTGCGCATGTGTGTGTGCATGTGACTGTATGTATGGACACATAAAGAATCTTTTTCCCTTAAAACTTCTATCTTGCCTGCCAAAAAGTTAATATTGGCATTTATTTCATTGTGAGCCTGTTTTGAATTATTAATGGGCTAAGAGATGGTTTCTAAAATATTAAAATTATTTATAAACTTTAGTTTTTAAATATAGATGTAACTTAACATTGTTTCTTAATGTTATTATAGAACCATTTGGTTTTAGCATGCTTTCCATAAAGTGAATACCTTAACATAAAATCAGTCATAGTCTGTTGCTAAAAAGTAAAAAAATAGTTTAAAAATCAGAATTGCTGTCATAGTCTAGTGGTCTAAAGCCTGATTTAAATACACCTTACCTGAAGCTTATAGCTTTGTTGGTATAATAATAATTTATAGCCAGAACTTTCAAATTTATCTTTATCACAAAGGATCTTCTGTCCAATTTCTTTCAGCTTTCAATATGAAAATCAGTGATCTTTACATAATCATGACGTTTTTAACAGGGACATCTATAGTTGCAGGATTACAAGGTAATCTTTTTGACAAACTTAGAATTAGTTTTCCTCAATCCTATAGATGAGGGGGAAAGGATTGACATTTTTTTGCTAACCAACAAAGTGTATCCCATCATTTTTCGTATTTCCCAGAACTTTGATAATAATTCTTCATTGAATTCAAGTAACATATAAAGAAGATATATCATAGAATTTGAAGGAAGGGGAAACAGTGGGACTTTTAATTTTATTCATGTTGTTAAACCTAGGGAATGAGTAATTAAATAAAAATGATAGAACAGCATCTAGAGTATGTAGTTCTTGATTTTACCAGTTAGTTATATAGAGAAGAAAACACAGCAAAAGTTTTTAAAAATAGATAAGAGGAAAATTATCTCCATCTTTTTAAAAAGCTCAAAGAATAAAAATGTAAATCAAGATAGAGCTATAATTTTGTTTACTCTCACAAAATATTTGGAGATCTTCAGAATTAATCTCAAATCTCATATGAGATTTGACTTTTCTAGAAAAAAAAATAACAAAAAATAAGATCATTAAATTACCAGAAAGCTTATTTTTTAATCTATTTGATGATGGCACAGGCCTATATTTTAGTTCCATTGTGAAATCTTACATCAGACTTTCTAGTATCATCCACTGTTTTGGTTTGGTTTGTTTTGGTTTGATTGGTTTTTTGAATTTTACAAAACTAATGCCAGTATCCCAATATTAATAGAATGCTTTTAAATTATGGCAGTACCTTTTCAGAATACTGATACTGTTCTCATGACAAATTGGAAAACAACCGGCAAATTTAAAAATTCTTTATCCGTCTAACCTTAAAATTCAGGGTGGAAAAACATATTTGAGGGTATTCTAAAATGACATTTACTGTGAATTACTTTAGGTTTTATTTTTTAAGTCATAAAAATAAGAATGAATCCCTTATTTTAGATTGGGTTTTTATTTTTACGTTTGGTCAGTTTGAAGGTGTAGCTATTTTTTAAAGGGTTGTGAGTGGCATTACATTTTTATCAGTTACAGAATGAGTTGCACAACTCAAAAACTTTAGGTAATCAAAAATTAAGTTTGTTTTCTTTCCTGTTCTAGTTACCGGTTTACTAAATAGTGAGCATACATGATCACTTGAGAATTGGGCTTCTGGAGCACCTGAACAGAAAGGGAGTGGTTCATATTCAGCATTACAAAAGACAACTTTCTCTTTTTGAAGGGGATTACTTTGGCTATTTTCCAGGTACTGGGGAAATTCCAGTTCGTTACAAGTTATGGGATGGCTATTAATTATTCATTTCCTAAAATATGTTGATTACAGACTTGAGATTTGGTTATATAGTAGGACTTTGTCTTCATCAGTTTAAAACAACAACAACAACAAAATCTACATTGAAGTTTATAGTGAAATACAAAATTGAGACTCTTACTTGTTACTTATTTTTTTAGAAATATCAATCTTAGTGATCAGAACATATATAGTAAAAGACTAAGTCTTTTACTTTCAAAAAGTAAGAACAGTAAGTTTTGTGCATGTGTATGTGAAGAAAATATGTAAGATGCTTTGCATCTTCAAAGCAATTAAACAATAAAAGAAAATTATATTTCCCATATATATTAAAGTTTTAGGATGTTGGGTTAAGGAAGGAAGTTTGTAACTAGATAGTTTTTATGAAGAATTAATACTTTATGAACAATTTGAATGTTTATTATTTTTTAACAGTTCTTCAGGGTTGCAGTGGATGAAGGTGTGTATACATTTGAACCATAACAGCAGAATGTCTTTTGATGAGACATCTGATTATTTAAGAGAATTCTCTTTAGAATTTTCATGTCTAGTTCCAGGGTGAAGATTTTAGGGAAAAGAAAAAAAAACTGCATTTCAAAATATATTTTTTTAACTTATCTTTTACTTATACAGAGTTATCTTATATATATATATATATATATATATATATATACACACACACACACACACACACACACACACACACACACACATATGTGGGGTATATACAGTAGTTATTTTCTTCTACTAAGGAAATCTCTCAGGTATTATTTGGACTATAGTTATTTTTGAACTTGTAGAATTTTGGTGTAGAGTTATAATGGGTCAATTTAGATGTCCTTTTTAGTCTGTTGTTTTCCGATTGCTTTCTTACTTGAGGAATGTTTCTTAGTCTCTCTACTGTACAAGTTTTCATTTACTCACACACTTTAATTGAGCTATGTGTCAGGTACTGTGCTAAATTCTGAGGTGTAAATTATAAGACATGGACTCTGCCGTATAAGTAAGTTGAAGGTGGTATAGTTTTAGCCCTGATGATGGAATATTAGTTTTTGTTTGTTTGGTTGCTGGTTTTTTGTTTTTTGAGGTGCTGAGGAACTTGTAACTTTGAGAAGATGCTAAAGTAAATTTAAAGAATTTTAAGTGTGAATTTCTTACAGGGGAAGAAATTTCTAAGGAGAGGAATGAATACATGTGAAGGTGCAGTCTTAATACATTAAGCTAAGGCATATATCTTAAGATTCATAATTCAAATACAAGGATAATCTTAAACTTGAAATTTATAATGTGAAATACATATATATTATAAAATGCATGTAGAGAAGAACCCCATAGCCACTTCAAAGAACAGATACGTAGCAGTCTCTACTCACTAAATGATTAGCTTGCGCATACACCAACCATTCTTACCATTCTACGTAGATCAACAGCCTTTCATTCATAGTAGCTTATTTCCTGAACCTTACCTTTAGTCATTCTATCACAAATGCTAAATTAGTAAATTCCAAAAGCCTACCATCTACTAAACATGTTATTTCGTTTTTTAATCCCTAAATCTGCAAGTGCTCTTGCCAGTTTTGTACACAATAAACTTGCATTAAAAATACTTTACCTGGTTAATAGTACCTATTCATTAATAGAAATTTTTTACTTTTTAACTTTTGCATTGAGTTGGAATGTAGGTATAGAACCTTTTTATTCTGTCTGGTTACTGCTTTAATTGTAACATGCTGTTTGACAAAATGAGTTGAAATTTTAAGACCAACTCTAGGCACAAATAATGATAGAAACAAAATATGGCTTAAACATAAAAGCATTTTATGATCAGTCACATTGCTTTATAGGTAAAACTCATTTTATTAGAGTTGAAGTACAAGATTTAGTTCTCCCAAAGCACTGAGATTTTGACATTCATCTTTGTCAGAGAGTTGACTTCAGTAAATTAACAAGAGACATAGCTCCAAATAACATGAGACTAGTAGACATGTTTAAAACTCGGACGTATTTACAAACATAGCATACTTACAGTGTATCCACAAACTAAATCATACTGTTTATATGTTTATTTTTTATGACATATTTATACATACTCTCAGTTTTTGCTAAGAACAATTGTGTTGTTAAGAAAGGGTGAGTTTTGTTATTTTACAGACCAAGAAGCATTGAGAATAAGAGAGATATTCACATAGACACAACACATGTTAGATGACTTTTATATCATATCATTTAAAGTATCTTACAAACTAAAAGGAAAATGTCCTACATACAAAGGACTTTTAAAATATGTGTCTTTAAGAAAGGAAATTGTTTTAGGACAGTCTCATCTAATAGAAAATGATACTTGTATAGTAGAAAAGCTTAACTCTGATTATGGTTTTTATTATTGAACTGTATAGAAATTACTATTCTGTAAAGCACTGTGTTTTATGGCAGCCAGTCCAATTGTACAGTTTTCTTGCAGTAGTCAAAGATTTTCATCTTTTCAAGATAGCTTGCATAAAAAGGATTGAATAATGAGTTACATGAAGTATTACAAATCAAATTATATTATAAAAATATTTTAATAAACTGACTTTCTTCTTCCAGAATGGTGGTACTGATTACTAGTAGAACATCACCCGGGGCATGTAAATATTTTAGTTGTTTGATCTTTTTTCCAAATATGTCTTGAAATTTATACCAAAAATTATAATGAAATTTTTAATATTTTAACTTCATCTTATGCTATTTCAAGAATTTATTCCTCATGTAGTGGTATTTTCAAAATGAGGGAGGAAAGCCTGACATCACCTTAGTTTTTAAATAAATAATTATGTGTTAGTATGTATGTATGTATGTGTGTGTATATTTATTTATTTATTTATTTATTTATTTATTTATACTGACTATTGAATTTCCATATTTATGTGTGTTTTTGCAAATTGTTAGATAATTGTAGCTTGAGAGTTTCTTAAAACATTAAATTCCAGAAATAAGAGGCTTGTTTTGGCCCATTTAGGACTAAATAGCTAAAACGTAGATACTAGTTATGGTATCTTCATAGGTAATTTGTATAATTACTTCTCATTAAAATTATTTTTGGCTGGGGTTGTGGCTCCATGGTAGAGCACTCGCCTAGCACACGTGAGGCACTGGGTTCAATACTTAGCACCACATAAAAATAAAATACAGTATTGTGTCCACCTACAACTAAAAAATAAAAAATAATTTGTGTTTCTTAAATAGTGTGTTAACAGTGAATCATAATCAGTTTCAAACTAACATGTGTCACTGTGAAAATAAATGCTAGTCTAAAAAGTCCAAATACAGAAGTTCATTGCAAAACAGATCATAGATTAACTAAAGATCAAATAAAGAGTGGACGTTTTTAACATGCATTGCCCTTCTTTTGGTTTCATATTCAAGTACTTGGAGATTCTTTTTGAGATTACTCATTACAAGTAAATATATTTTTGCTGCATCTAGTAATATTTTATTTGAAAATAAATTATTGAGCAACTGAACCTAACATTGAAAGAAAAGAGTAAATCTGAGAAAATAAATGCATTAGTAAAAATAGGCCAAAACATTTTTATTAAGCACATATTTACTATACACATTCTAAGGGCCAAATGAAGTAGTGCTCAGTGCTAGAGGTGTAAATATAAAAGTTATTTTGGTACCTGCTTTCCTGGAGGCAGACCATTTGTCAGACCATTTTGTTTGTCTTTCCTTGTCAGACCATTTGACAAGACAGACAAACTAAAAATTAAAGCTATAGTTTATTATAAAATCAGTGCGGAAACATACAGGAAGAAACAAGTATTACGAAGGCTTCCCAGACACAATATCAGAATCTTCATGGATTGGTAAACATTAAGTAAGGCAAAAAAAGGTACATTTTCAGATAGCTAAAGTTGCAAACTTAGGATGCTTAGAGGTCAAGGAACCACAGGTAAACTAAAATAAGGCTCAATAAAGTGGAACAGAAAAGATATTGGCAAAAGATTGAGGGTACATAGGTGGGCAACAGACCCATTTAAGGATTTGGTATTCTAATCTGAAAGCAAGGAAAGCCATTAAACAATTTGTAGCAAGGAAGTAACTTGGTAAAAGATCATCCTTGGGCTGAGGTTGTAGCTCAGTGGTAGAGCACTTGCCTTGCACACGTGAGGTGCTGGGTTCGATCCTCAGCACCACATAAAAAAATGAACAAAATTATTAAAACAAATCACCCTTGATGATATATGAAAGCTAAAATAACTTTTTATCTTTGCAAGATAAGGATATATGTGAATAATTAAGTAAAAATAACTCAGGAATTATTTATATTTACACAACTTGGTTCTTTGAGATTTGGTAAAACGTAAATTATGTTGTTATGATTGCATTAATAGATGGTAGTGGAATATGTTATATTCTTATCATAACTCTGAGCTGATCAAATATAAAGACTTGAAAACTAATTGATAATTGTTGGAAATTGCTATTCAATCTCCCTTCACTTAATTGTCTTTTAACATTGATCCTATCTGTGCTAATTCGGTGATATAAGATGGCATTTATGCTCTTTATAGCTGTATTCTAGATTGCCTGGACCTCCCTCTCCCAAAATGTTTTACACTAAAAGTTTTATACTGAATTTGGGTTTATAATTAAAAGAGGATGTATATAATAAAAAAGAAGAGAAAATTAAACTCCAGAGGAGTATGAGATAAGGAGAGGTGTTGAGATAAAAAAGAAATTAGAAAGGATAATATCCTTTCCCTTAGTTGCCTCCTACACTGTAGCCTACTTCTGTCTTCCTCTTGCTAATATAAATAAAAATTTTTACGCTGAAAGTGATATGTAAATGATCTTAAACTGTATAGCCCATCCTAGATATTTTTAACTGTATAAAAATCTGATAATACAAATTTCATGGCACTATAAGTAGTTCTCCTTTTTGCCTTGAGATTAGGGGCTAGACTACTAATTTAGACAATATTATTCTTATAATATAGAAAATTCCTAAATAGATACTGTGATTACTTGAGTAAACATAAATTGATTTATAATTGAAACCACAAAATTAAGCTCCATAATTTACTTGAAAGACCTGAGTATAAGTTGAATAAGTTTATTTTACAGTTTTAGCTCAAAAAGATAGTTTATAATTCACAACATCTGAGTTATCAAAAAACCCCGCAGACTGAATCTTTCACCCTGAGTATATTTAATTTAATAGCAAGCACTCTTTGAAAAACTTTGAAAGTAAAATGTTTTACACTAAATGTTTTACACTGAATTTCCATTAATGTAAATCCAGGTTCTCATCAAACTGGGTCTTTACTATTTTACATGCAAGCAACTAGCTCCTTATGTAGCAATTTGTCATTTGACTCCAAGACAAATATTTTCCCTGCAGCAGGGGAAAAAGGAAAAAACTAATTACCTATATGGCTATATGTCTATAGCAGACACTGCATTTTTTAGGCATCTCATTAATTAAGTAGTAATATTTGTATTAAAATCAAATTATATGGTATCGTCAGCTTAAAGTTATTCTATCTTGAAATAAAATATTGTGGAAACTGAATTTTCATCTATTTTTAAAGAATATATTGTTTTATTTAGAATGGGAGAGAGTTGAAGAATTAAATTACTCATAGTTTTTATTTTGCCATAGAAGAAAACTGGATTGTATTAAAACAAGAACTGAAAAAAGTGAGAATACACTTACCCAGAGTCTACATAACTGAAATTTATTTTCTCAGTTTCAGCTAGTTTATACTATTCCTTATAAAGGTAGTTGGCCAGACGGAAGGCTTAAAGGCTGCTCTTTAATGATAAGTAACTAATAGTGGAAGCAGTAAATTTAGTCATCCCTCAGTATCAATGGTAATTGGTACCAAAATCCATGAATGCTCAAGTCCTTGATATAAAATGATGTATTATTTGCGTATAACCCATGCACATCCTTTCATATGTCTTAAATTATCTCTAGATTACATAAATTCCTGATATATATGCTGTGTAAATTTCTGCTATATTGTAATGTTTAGGGAATACTGAAAAGAAAATAGTCTCTATATTCATTGTAGACACAATTTTTTTCCCCAAGTATTTTTCTATCTATGTTGGTTGAATCTACAGATACAGAGAGCCAGCTAAACCTCTTTTTTTAAGTTAATTTCTTGCTTGCACTCTATCTTAGTTTTTACCTACTCAGGCTAATTTATAGGTTCCTGGGATGAGTAGACAATCCATAATTTCTACCAATCAAGTAAAAGAAGGAAAGAAAACTCTGAGCTTCTCTCCCAGTTAACAGGTAGTTTGCTGTGTTTAAAATTAATGCAGATTTCACAGCAACAAATATTAACATTTCATTTATTATAAATAATTTATTTGAAATTTGGGAAATGAATAGTTGAGTGCATCATTTCAGTGTTTATTTGAACAGTAACTTCTTAGTGCTAGAGACCATCTTATTTTTTTCTGATTGCTGTGGCAAACAATTTGTTTCCCTTTAATTTTAGCATGTTTTAAAAAAAAGTGTGTGTATGGTTACTTTTACTTGAAAATATATTTTATTCTTTGCAGTGTTTGAGCAACACACCTCCACTTACTGAGTATTTCCTCAATGATAAGTATCAAGAAGAACTGAATTTTGACAATCCCTTAGGAATGAGAGGCGAAATAGCTAAATCATATGCTGAACTGATCAAGCAAATGTGGTCTGGAAAGTTTAGCTACGTCACCCCAAGAGCATTTAAGGTTAGTATGATAAATACATTCTCAACAAGAGTGATATCATCCCCAAGAGGGCAAAAACTAGTTCCTAGAAGAGAAGGATGAAAAATAGTAGCTATCACAATGACTTATAAGCCCTTCAAAGGAGTACAGTATGGATGGATGGATGGATGGATGGATGGATGGATGGATGGATGGATGGATAGATCATCTGTGGTATAAAATTTCAGATGACAGAGTGGGTGATTAGTTTTCAGAAAGTCTAAAAAGGATTTAGGAGGGGGGAATAATTTAAAAAGACTGAGAAAAACACTGGTATGATAGAATTACTACAGAGAAATAGCAGTGAGCATTTATTTGCATAGTTATTTTAGAATACATCTCTGAAAAATCTACATGACTATTTCATATTATACAACCTTAAAAAAATAAATTTGAACATTTCATTAAAGTCTAAGAACTCGAGTATTTCAATAGTCATTGCGAGTTTGAAAAATTAAAACTAGTCTGCAAAACAGTCACTAAATATGAATGTGCTTCCAATGTAATTCTTAAAGTCAAAGTTTATTCAAATTTGTGAATAGATTGCTTTTTAGAATCAGTAAAATTACAAATGATTTTTCATTCAAACAAGAATTAAATTAAAATTTGGCTTTATGTGTTAAAAAGTTTTCCTAATTAATTGTAATAGGAGTAGGATGAGAAAGTATGTATTTTTGAAGAATAAGCAATTATAATAAGCCATAATTTTTACAATCAACTTAAATGGTATTCATGTAGGACATGTACTAAGTAACCGTATACTACTTCCTAAAAAGTAAGAAGCGACTAACAAATCATGTACCCCTACATTTGGACAGACTAGTCTAGACAAACCATCTCAACACAACCCTCATTCCAATTAGTTTTGTTAGATTTTTTTTCCTCTTTAAATTTTATGTAAAAATGCAGGCTCTTGATATTTGACTTCTTTCATATTATGATTTATTTTTTTTATTTATTTTTAGTTTTAGGTGGACACAGTATCTTTATTTTATTTTTATGTGGTGCTGAGGATCAAACTCAGTGCCTTGTGCATGCTAGGCGAGGGCTTTACCACTGAGCCACAACGCCAGCCCCTCATATTATGATTTATATTATTACATTTCTTTGTAGTCCAATCAAAAAATAGTATTACAAAACTAGGAAAATTGAACATAAATATTATTGTTATCTTTGTGAGATTCTTCCTCTTTTTACACACAGAAACTGAAAGATTTGTAGTTTTTTCCCCAGTGGACCCAAAGCAATATGTTACTAAATTTTTTAAGTCTTCAGTGTTTCCCAATTTTTTGTACAATATTTTATTATATGTTCTCCTTGTTCTTTTCTCATGTCAACATTTCTCTATTTTAGAGAGTAGTTATTTTCAAAATTCTTTTAGATGTATGATTATCTGTATGATAATAATAGCCAGAATAAAAACTTGTCTTTTATTGTCTGCCTGACAAACATTTACAGGAAGAGGCAATAGGAAAACCAAGAGCTAAAAATTAAGAGTGCTGAAAACTCCTTTGACAAATAGTGAAATGGCAATTAGTAACAAATAAATATAGGACCCATAATGATCAATATACATTTTGGGGGGTTTTGTTTGTTTTTCATCTATACATTTTTTTAAGGAGTCCATGTTCTGTTCTGTTTTGGCCTAAATAAGCTTCATTGAGGACTGGGATTGTAGCTCAGGAATAGAGTGCTTGCCTAGCATAGGTGAGACTGGGTTCAATCCTCAGCACCACATTTAAAAAAAAAAAAAAGTGAATAAAATAAAGGTTAAATTCTAAAAAAAATAAATAAGCAAGCTTCATTGAATGTATACTGGAATGCAGAACAAAATATATGTTCCTATTTTGTATATATACATTTTCATTATTCACAATAGTTATATTCCTTAAATTTATTGCAAACACTGAATAACCATACTAAACTGTTGCTACTAAGGAAAATATAGGTTTTGATTCTATCAAACCTTCTAGTTGTAACATTTTCACATTTTCACCAACCAACCAGTGTGTCATTTTGTTTTATGTGTATTTTAGTTTAAAGACCCTTATTTACCATGTGTGATGGTGCATACCTGTAATTCCTATGGCTCATGAGGCTGAGGCAGGAGGATTGTGAATTCAAAGCCAGCCTCAGCAATTTAGGCCCTAAGCAATTCAGCAAGACCCTGTCTCTAAATAAAATATAAGAGGACTAGGGATGTTCACAGTGGTTGAGTGCCACTGGGTTCAATCACTGGTACTAAAAACAAAAAAAGGAAAAAAAAAAACTTGTTTAATATGTGTTGTTGATTCATTAGCATTGAATTCATAGCCAACAGCACTGTAACTTATGTCTGAAGGAAGCTTATCTAACTATGTTTTCTCCAAAAGGTACATCACAGCCTCCTTCTAGCCAACACTTCAGCACTATGTATGGGGGGCTCTTTAAACACTGAAATAACCAGAAGACAGCACAGAAGTGTGAAAAAAAAATAGCACTAAATCAACTACAAAAAGACATTTGTTTATATAGTATGAGAGCTAAAACAAAAAGGGGAGAGGATCACTTTGTTTCCCAGCTGAGAATGTGCATGTTAGATGACTCAAATTTTTCACCTCTCTGAGGATATCCATAATGACTGCTAAAGTGTTTTAATTTTATTTGAGGGTTAAAAATAAATTTTAGCAAGTAGGCAACTCATAGATATGGAGTCCATGAATAATAAGAATCAACTGTAGAATTTTAAAGGAATCCTGACTCTGCTGAGTTCATGGTTTTGTTTTTCTCACAGACACAGGTAGGACGTTTTGCACCCCAGTTCTCTGGATATCAACAGCAAGACTGTCAAGAACTATTAGCTTTCCTATTAGATGGACTACATGAAGATTTGAATAGAATTAGGAAAAAACCATATATACAATTGAAAGATGCTGATGGAAGGCCTGATAAAGTAAGTTTCATGATATTATTGTCTGCATTGTTGCAGTTCTATAATACCTCTATAACTTGATCTTATTTTCTTTATAGGTGGTTGCTGAAGAAGCCTGGGAAAACCATTTAAAAAGAAACGATTCTATCATAGTAGATATATTTCATGGCCTTTTCAAATCAACTTTGGTTTGTCCTGAATGTGCTAAGATTTCAGTAACATTTGATCCTTTTTGTTACTTGACACTTCCATTGCCCATGAAAAAAGAACGTACCTTGGAAGTTTATTTAGTTAGAATGGATCCACTTACCAAACCTATGCAGGTAAGTAGTGATTATTTTCTGTACATTTGTTACTTTTTATCAAATATTATAGTGTTGAGTACTATATAAAATTAGTTTTGAAGCTGGGCCTGGTGGTGTGTGCAATTTAGGAAGCTGAGGCAAGAGGATTATAAGTTCAAGGTTAGCCTGGGCAACTTGGAAGACCCTGTCTCAAAATAAAGTTTTGAAAAGGACTGGGGATGTAGCTCAGTGGTAAAGCACTTGACGAACATGTGCAAGGCCCTGGATTTAATCTCTAGTACTATATGTAAATTAAAAATTAGTGTTGAATCCTAAAGCACAGTTTAGTAATAATGTTTGTGTAGTGTAAATGTACTATAAGCTTAACACTTTGGAAATTAGTATAATTTTTAGAATCTTGAAAGGATGAAGGATGTCATGTAAAAAGTATTCTCAAAGACTTTTTCTCATCAAAGAAAACAGACATTGTTTTACAGTGTTGAAGAATATTAGCTTACAAAAATGAGAAATGGAAATTTAGTTAGATTAAAATATTTGATTCAGTAATGTTCTAATCTTTAATACTTTATTTTATCACATATTGTTTATCCTATGCAAAATCACTGGTAGTAGGCATTAATGATCATGTTTGATTGCATAGTGTAGTGTTATAATTGAACTATTTCCTATTTTGTGAATAAAATCCTATATTTTCTCCCTTCTTTATCAGTGCTTTTCTGAGACTTGACCCCTCCCATCGAAAGTATCTCCTTTCTCTTCCTACCTCCCCTAAATTCTGTTAACAGCACTTAGCAAATTTTATTTTGACCTTTATTTGCTCTTGTTTTTCTTCCCTAGACCATAAGTTATTTGAAGATAGGAGACTTACAAATCTTGTTTTCGATGCTTAATTTGTGTATGTTAATGCAACAGTATACAAGCAAGGCATGGTGATACACACCTGTAATTCCAGCAACTCTAGGAGGCTGAGATAGGAGGACTCAAGTTCAAGGCCAGCTTTTTAGCAGTTTAGCAAGGCCCTGAACAACTTAGAAAAAAATTTTAAAGGCTGATAATGTAGCTCAGTGTTAAAGTACCCCTGAGTTCAGTCCTCAGAATCCCTCCCCACCAAAAAAAAGTATTCACAATGCTGTATTAGGCACAAACAGTATAAAGTTTTTGTTCACTAAACAAGGCAGATATGGTCCTACTTCAGAATATTGTTTTCTCTAAATCCTTAGAGTTCCAGCCAGGTAGCTCAACTTTGTTTGGTGCCTAATAGTCACAAAATCTATATGAAAGTTATGCTCTGAACAAAATTATGATTTTACCACTCAGGCAGGAAATTGAGTTTACTCTTAACAAGAAAAGGATATTTACAACATTCTGAAAAATAGTTCTTTCATTCAAGGTAACTGAAGTCTAGTTGTAACAAATAATACAATCCCATATATAAATTTCACCCTTTTTTTTCTGCTTCTTTATGTTTCCTTCATGAACTAATCAAATCTAGTGACTTTATATCAGTATTTTGTTAAGTAGTGCTGAGAACTTACCCTTATCTATAAGCAGGACCAACAAAGTACTGCTTTTACTTTTTACACTTTTTTTTGTGTTCATACTTGATAATAATATATTGTCTTTAGGTACTCTCTTATTCATTTGTTTGTAAATGCAGAATTGTCTACATTATTTTCAGTTCTATCAGTGTTAAACTATACCATTACCTCACTAGCTTGTAACTTTGCAAATACATGCCAATGGAGCAAAAGAATATGAAAAATTAGTAAAAATGTATTACAACAACAACAAAAACGTAGATGTTTTATTTATGTTCAGCACATTTGTTAAAGACAATACTTTTCCAGGCTAATATTATAAAATAATCTGTTATATAGTGACAGGTTACATTAAAGCTACACATTAGCCCTTAAGGTATATGGTGAATGTTCTTCTGTAATTTGGCTTTAAATCATTTTCCAGCATTGTGAATTTCATTGAGTTACTTTTTTACTCACTTGGTGACCAAGAATATTAATTGTGGGAGTTAGGTCCACGATCAACACAGGAATTGGATTTGGGTGTTGTTTATGTTCTTTTTTAGAGGGATGGGGGTGGTATTTTTGTTGTTGTTTTTTGTTGTTGTCATTTTTTTCCTCTTAAACACAGCTTCCATACAAAGCGATATCCTCATTAACACTATGGTTTAATCAGCTGGTAAGGAAGTGAAATTAGCTAACATCCTGTTACTGAAGTTGATTTAGGTTATATTAGTAATCATATTGAGGATGTATTATATGTTGCTCTCATACTCTAAGGGGTTGGAAATATGAAAGTGTTTCTAATCCTACTTCTTAAGAAGTTTGTCATAGAGTGTGAGAAGTAGTATGACAGTACCACAGGAGCTCACGGAAAGAATAATCTGCACAAACTGATATACGTGTGATGAATCATGAAGAATGATTAGATTTTAAGTAGGTAGCAGCTGGAAATGAAGATATTATAGGCCAAGAAATTGGCATGTACAAGGCCTGAAGACAAAAGAAGTCATGGCCCTACTTTTAAAATTTATAAGTAGCTAAAAATATGGTAAGCAGGAACTTTACCAATGAGTATCACAAAGATGTTTGATACCATGATAGGAAATTTGGACTTCTTCCTAAAGCTAGGAAAGCTTTTAAAGGTTATTAAAAAACCTTTAAAAGCATAGAGATTATATGGCTATATTTGTGTTTGAGAAATAAGAATCTGGCTAGCACATAGATTAGATAGGAAAGACTTAGATCAGAACTATGAAGACCACAGATAAGAGGCTTTTGCAGTGTTCAGTTGACAAGGGCTTGAAGTTGTGTCAGTATGTCAGTTTGATTGTAAAACTAGTTTGAATGTAGGAAGTGAAAATGTGTAGATGTATTCAAAGATGATTTCACGTTTCCTGGACTAGAGAATTGAGAGCTTAATGGTGCTCTTTGTTTTAATGGGATGTATAAGAAGAATAAGTCTAAGAAGAAACCTTTTTAGTATTAAACATAATAACATAACCTATTAGTGTTGGATACATTGACTTCAAGATGCAGAAGGAATATTTAGATGGTGGTAATCTGATAGGCATTAAATTTATGTATTCACACTGGAGGAGAAAGACTGTGATTAAGATTTAAATTGAGTAGTGAGCTCTTTGAGAATGGTAGTCGGTGGTTTAAAAGGATGAGATCACTTAAGACTAGAGTGACTCTGATTTATCATCTAAACTAGAACTCTCCTGAAAATAAAAAGGGCCTTTGTTAATAATTATACTAGGATAAGAGTCTAATCCAGGACTGGCCAAAGCAAATGGAGATATATTGTCATTAGTCTAAAAAGTGTATATAGAATCAAGGAGAGGTCGAAGAACAAAATTTTAAAGAACAATATGGAGGGGCTGGACTGTAGCTTAGTGGCAGAACGCTTGCCTAGCATGCATGAGGCACTGGGTTCAGTTCTCAGCACCATATAAAAATAAAGGCATTCTGTCTATCTACAACTACAAAAAAATTTTAATTAAAAAAAAGAATATGGAAGAGCTTCTAAGACAATATTATCACAGCAATAGAAAAGAATTAAGAAGTAGTGTTACATAAGGAAAGAAACATTTTTAAAGATTGGCGTGGTCAGCAGTCATTCTACATAGAGATCAATAAAATAGAGTCTGATAAAGAGTGAGTTGTGTAGTAGTTTTGGTAATGTTGGCAATAGGTTAAATAAAGGGGTGAAGACAAAAGCCAGAAAATGGGTTGAGAAGTGAATGGGAGATAAGGAAGTTATAATAGTCAGTGTAGAATATTGTTAATAAAGTCATTTATAAAGCATGGGAAATAAGGGAAAGCAATGAAGGACTATTTTTATTTTTGTTTTGTTTTTTGAGATGTTTATTGTATTCCAGTGCTTATGCAAAAAAGTCAAGATAATAGGAAAGTCTAGTTGCTAGATTTAGGTCTTAGCAGAGGATAGAATTCAGAGCATATAAACTAGGGTTCTCCCTTAATGGGAAGAAAAACACTTAACTTGTATTGCAAGAGACAGGAAAGGAAAAAAAAAAAAAAACAACCTATATGTCCTCAGGTAATTTTTTAAGGGAACTAGAAGTTACAGATTTTTACCACTTGGCAGCTTCATTTTCTTAGTAAAATAGATGTTCTTCTGAAGGGAGATACAGTGAAATAGGAGGCCTAAGTAATGGTGAATATTTTAAATAGTAATTGAAATGAGAAAAACAGCAAATAAGATTCAGAGAATTGTTTCTGGGCAGTGTTAAGGATCAGTTGAGACTGTGGATTTGAAGTTCACTGGCATCTGAAGTTGGGGAGTTTTCTGCAGCTTATCTGAACTGCTTTGAGAAAGTTCAGCAAGAGTGGAACTGAGTAATAGAGGTTAAAGGTTTTATAATGGAATGATTGAATTGATGAAGAATATGGAGTCGGGATGGAAGTGCATGAAGACAGTAGGGAGAAAATCTGAGTGTCATAAGGACTAGAAATCTCTATAAAAGATAAGAATAGGTAAGAATATGTTTCCAGGTGAAGCAGGTAGTGGTAGTTAGTGTAAGGTATCAGAAGCAAAGCAGATTCACGTGGCGACAAGGTCCAGGAAGTTGACTATACTTGAATGCAAGGATAGATCTTTGAATTGAGAAACTGAGGAAAAATAAGGGGTGGGATGAATCATCTATATGGACATTATCTCCTAGGGTAATGGCAAGATTGGAGGTAGACATTATAAGCCAAATGCTGAATACCAAATGAATGTAAGAAAACAATCATGAGGTCAGTCTCATCTACTCAGTGTTTTTTTTCCCAGTATAATAAGTTCATTACAATTTTTTGTTTTTGTTTTTTAGTACAAAGTGGTTGTCCCCAAAATTGGAAATATACTAGATCTTTGCACAGCATTGTCTACTTTGTCAGGAGTACCGGCAGATAAGGTAAGATGTTTCTGGGATTGAAGAATTTAAATTGGTGTTTAGTTTCTCGGTGTTAAAAAACCAGCTTAATAGAAATTTATTTCCTTTTAGATGATAGTTACTGATATATACAATCATAGATTTCACAGAATATTCCCTATGGATGAAAACCTTAGTAGTATTATGGAACGGGATGATATTTATGTGTAAGTATGAAATTTATTGTGCAGAGTATTACTTGAAAATAATCAAAAAAAATAACAAGATTTTGAGAGTTTATGGTCCATTGTGTTCTTATAGGTTTGAAATTAACATCAATAGGACAGAAGATACAGAACATGTGATTATTCCTGTTTGCCTAAGAGAAAAATTCAGACACTCAAGTTATACCCACCATACTGGTTCTTCACTTTTTGGTCAACCTTTTCTTATGGCTGTCCCACGAAACAATACTGAAGATAAACTCTATAATCTTCTCCTTTTGAGAATGTGGTAAGTGCCAGACAATTCTACTTCAATAAAATAAGCATGGGAATGAAATACAGGTAAAAAAGTAAACATGCAAGGAACTACCAGAATGTAATTGAACATTATCTCAACTTTGTTTAGACAGGTAGCAATTTAAAAATCAGGTTATAGTCATCTACTTTCATGATCATGAAAAAATGCATTACTGAGGTTATTTTAAACCCAGTATTATCAATAACTGTGATACATGTGTACACTCTGGAATCATAACAAATGGCAAAGTCTCATATCTTTATGCATACTACTAGCTCAAGAACTCGTACTAATTGTCTTAAAAGAGTAAATATTCACAATGTATAGTCCATTTTTTGCCTTCCTAAAAATCTTGATTTGAATTATATAAGGTAATCATAAACACCATTTGATCCTTTTTAATTTTTTTATAGTTGACATGTTCAGTATTATTTCTTGTATACCTAATTATTGTAGTTTCATGACTCATACATAAAGATCACATTATCCTCATTTTGATCACTAGTGCCACAAAAAATATTATTAAAAATGTTCACATTATATAAAAGCAAGCTTTCTTAGCAATAACATATATATCATTTAAATGGGAATCTTATAATACTTTAAAGTTGAGAAATTATTTGCCACAAACTTTAATGTATAAAAGACAGATATAACACTCTAGAAGTAAGAAAATATTCTTTTTATAAAGACAAATAAAACACAATTAATTCTACTTATGGAATTGTAAGCTTTGAGTTTTAATTTATTTTTAAATCTACCAAATAACCACTGTTATTGCATTGAAAAGCTCCATTTTATTGGTAGAGTGGAAAATAGTTTTTAGATCTCTGTAGAATTGAACTTGTTTGATTTCTGATTTTATTAAGCCGATATGTCAAAATATCTACTGAAACTGAAGAAACTGAAGGATCCCTGCATTGCTGTAAAGACCAAAATATTAATGGGAATGGCCCAAATGGCATACATGAAGAAGGTTCACCAAGTAAGACTTTCCTGTTAAATTATTAAAATGTTTCACTTGGATTATTGCCTCAGAGAAAAAGTTTAAAAAATGGATATTAAGGAACTAAAAACAAACCATCTGTAAATCTAGGTAAAATAATTATTTCAGAAATGTTAACACTGGATTTATTTAAAGATCTCTAATATCTAAAACTAGGTGAAATGGAAACAGATGAACCAGATGATGAATCCAGCCAGGATCAAGAACTTCCCTCAGAGAATGAAAATAGTCAGTCAGAAGATTCAGTTGGAGGAGATAATGATTCTGAAAATGGATTATGTACTGAGGAAACTTGCAAAGGTCAACTCACGGGACACAAAAAACGATTGTTTACATTCCAGTTCAACAACTTAGGCAATACCGATATCAACTACATCAAAGACGATACAAGGCATATAAGATTTGATGATAGGCAGCTTAGGCTAGATGGTAAGTATTTTTTGTGAAAAATGACTTGAGCATCAAATTTCAGTAAGTGGGGTTTTTAAAATATAAAAACCATGAAATTCAGCCCAACCATGAAAAATACCATTTATCTATTTTAAAATGTTAAATAAAAGGCCTTAATATCCAGGTACGCTAAAACATGCAAGTGTTTACTAAAGCAGGGTTTAACTTCATGCTTCAGCTTTGTATCTTTTTGTCTTTTGATCTCACATTGTTAAAGGCTTGGAAACAGTTATTTGTCCTAATCATCTGTGCAAGTAGAAAAAATTGCTCCTTGTTTATTTTTATATATACCGTAATGTTAAAATATACAAATTTTAGTTGTAAAACACATTGAATTTTAAAGAAAAAAAATGTTTTTCACCTTAGAAAGATCTTTTCTTGCTTTGGATTGGGATCCTGAATTGAAAAAAAGATATTTTGATGAAAATGCTGCCGAGGTAAGTTATCACTCAAACACTGCTTCTTTACCTTTTCTTGGCTTACTTTATTCTAATTGCTAGAGTTAATCACACTCTTTTGTACACTTTCTGCTTCCTTGAAATTAGTTTATATTTTGCCATTAAAAATTTGGTCACAAACTTTTTTTCAACTAGAGGGGTTTTGAACATGCTTTTTGTTGACATGTTTTAATTATAGAAGGTCATTTAGGAGTTATTAAAAAGTATGATAAAAATCTCAGCTGAAATAAGTTTTATGATTCTCTTGAAAATTTAGGAGTTTTCATTATTATTCATAGTAAGATGGTATCACTAAAATGAGTTTTGTTTCATTTGTTCTCTTAACTCAAGAAATACTTCTCTTTAGGATTTTGAAAAACATGAAAGCGTGGAATATAAACCTCCTAAAAAACCCTTTGTGAAATTAAAAGACTGTATTGAACTTTTCACAACAAAAGAAAAGCTAGGTGCTGAAGATCCCTGGTAAGAGACAAAGTTAAATAATTGTTTCTAATTATTTTCTTTAAGGCTTTATTCTGAAGTATGTGGTACATCAAGTTGAAAAAATGATTACTAAATATTCTTATTGCTATAAATTTCTGTAATGTAATAGTCTATTAAAAGGAATGGGAATATCTCCAAAAGTATTATCCCATCATTAGCTTTAATCTCATTACTATATTTTCCCTAATAGTCATTTTACTATTTATAATTACCTTTTTCCTAAGAAGTTTCAGCTGTGTTGGAAAAAGCTTTTTAGGGAAATTATTTTGTGATATCATTCCATTAAAGTCCAAAGTTTTGAGATTTTTCTGATATCTATGTCTCAACACACATTTGTAATATTATGTTACATGGTTCATATCTTTTTTAGCATACTGAAATGTAAGTAACCTAGCCCTCATCATTTATTTGAATATTTATTTGCGTATTAGTTTATAATGGTTAGACTTATTTAAAAAATGTATTGAAAATAAAGAGGAGTTGCTGTTAGACTGGTATATATTACTCCTAAAATAATTGCTCACAAAAATATAGGGTTCCCCCCCCCCCACCCTTGGGTTTTGGCTTGTTATTTTTGTTAATGGAGCTAGCCATTTATACCTCTGTCAAACTTTTAAATATTTCTTTTTGGTTTTAGGTATTGTCCAAATTGTAAAGAACATCAGCAAGCCACAAAGAAATTGGATTTATGGTCCCTTCCTCCAGTACTTGTGGTACATCTCAAGCGATTTTCATACAGTCGTTACATGAGAGATAAATTGGATACTTTAGTTGATTTTCCTATCAAGTAAGTTAAATTGTACTTAATAAACATTGAGCATTCTAACTTTTTTCAAACTTATTTTGATGCTTTTTGTCATTGTATCTTAGTAAAAGATTTGAATTTATTTTTGAGTAGATATAACCATTTTAAGGGTTGATATTTCACGATTTTTATTCCTAGAGATTTTTCCAAAAACAAAAGTGAATATTTTCTTTTTAAATAAATATAACTCACTATGTCTTGCATTACCTTATGTGTTCATTGACCCCATTTATAATTATAAGATTTTTTATGGACTTAGCAATTTTGTTTTTCCTAGGATTCATTTTATCATTATTCATCAATTATTCCTAAATTTTTTAAATGACTAAAATATTATAAAAATAGAAAAATGGAATTGCTTAGAATGTTGATTTAATAATGAAATAAATTATCCCTATATGCATTTATCCTTCAGTTTTTCTTGTTGCATAGTATGACATCATACTTGTAAAAAGGTATAACAAAGTCTGGAAACCATCTTCATAGTCTCTTTTTGTTTGTTTGTTTGTTTTTTAGCTTTTACTAAACACAGTTAAGAATTCAGGACAAAAAAGGGAACATTGTATTCTCATTCACTTCTCATTCACTTAGTCATGCAGCAGGAAGGACTTCATCACACAATATTTTGTAATAAAGAGCTTGGCATTATCCTGTATTGCAAAAAAGAACATGTGACAGTATTCTTTCATATTTTATGATATTTGTGCACCAAAACTTACTTGAATCAGTTAGTAAGTGGACAAATGCTGAAGGCAGGTGTGTATACAAAAGGGACTGGAAAGGATATAGGTGATTTTAAAAAACTGAAAATATTAATTATTCATTCCATTTATTGAGCAGGAAGAAAAAGGTTATTTATCAAAATTGTGAGCCATTAAAATTTTCAAGAATATAGCATTTTGACAATGTAAATGCAAGAAAACTAGATTCTAATATAGGTATATTTGGAAGTTAGAATTATTGCTTTTGCAGGGCGGGGGTGCTGGGGTTAGAACCCAGGGTCTTACACATGCTAGGGGAGTGCTCTACCAACTGAGCTACACTCCCAGTAGAGTTGTTGCTTTTTAATGATGTGAGGATAAGAACAACAACCAGAAATGATGCAAATGTAAGAACAACAATAATAAACTATAAGATGGTGTGTTCCAAGTTCATGCATATATGATTATGAACAGTCAATTGCATTCAAAGAGTGCTGCCCATTTCTGGTCTATAGGTTATCAAAATCAGGAAAATGTGGAATAAAAATGGTCTTCAATTGACTTGATTGATAGATACTGGGAATTGAACTTAGGTGAGCTACATCCTCAGTCCTTGTTATTTTTTATTTTGAGTCAGAATCTCACTCAGTTGCTGAGGCAGACCTCAAATTTGCAATCCCGCCTCAGCATCTGAGTAGCTGGGATTACAGACATTCTTGATGTTCTAGTGTCTAGCTTAATTTTTAAAAACTCATAAGAAAGTTGTTTTTCACTCTCCCTTTATTTTTTGCTGTATAAATCATTCCTAAAAATTATTTTAAAATAAAAAGCTGGACATGGTGGCACATGCCTGTAATCCAAGTGGCTCGGGAGGCTGAGGCAAGAGAATCACGAGTTCAAAGTCAACCTCAGCAATGGTGAGGCACTAGGCAACCCAGTGAGACCCTGTCTCTAAATAAAATACAAAATAGGGCTGGGGATGTGGCTCAGTGGTTGAGTGAGTGTCCCTGATGCTCAATCCCCAGTACCAAAATAAATAAATTAGTTGATTAAATAAAAACAATTCATTGGGTCTAAATGATAATGAGTTACTTGACTCTTGATAATTTCTTTGGTGAAAAATATGGAGAGAGGCAACACTGGCAGAAGGGAATAGAATTCATTGCATTTCAAAGAAAAAAAATGAATTTATTATATTTAGGGAAAACATAACACTAACTTCATTTCTCTTTAAAAAAACAGTGACTTGGATATGTCGGAATTCTTAATTAATCCAAATGCAGGTCCTTGCCGCTATAATTTGATTGCTGTTTCCAACCATTATGGAGGGATGGGAGGTGGACACTGTAAGTTGACAGTTTATATTTTAACATGATGATGATGTTCGAATAACTATTGATTTTTTTTTCCTTAAGGTATTTATTACGTCTGGTAAAATGTCAGATGGGTCTTTCATATAATAGTTATGCAATATTGATTAATGAATGAATCAGCTTTTGAACCCTTTTAAATCTGAAAAGAAAGGATTGAGTTAATCATACTCCTCATTGTCAGTTGAAGGCACTGGAAGAAGTGTTACTGGTCCATTTGGGGTTCCTCTTCTCCATTGTTTTTCCCTTCTCTTTGTAACATGTTTAATGCATGTGCTATAAACCATGCATATTTGCTCACTTTTGTAATTGGTACTGTACTACAGATCTCAGCAGATCTTGCTTGTTTTCTTTATACTTTTGTTATCTATTTTGTCCATTGCTCCTCACTACTCATGGTTTACATTCACCATATGGTGGATATCCAACTTGCCTTTGAGACTGGTAAATATTATTGTTTCTGGTCTGTTACATGAAAATTTCTTTGAACTGTGTACTCAGATGAAACTGCCAGGTTTAAATGAGTATTTAAATACTGCCAGATTTCTTTCCATGTTGAAACTAACAAATCCACCCTCTCCTCCACTTGATAGGTTTTTCTATTGAACGATCTTTGCATTCTTGGGATGATCCTACTTGTCTTTTTGTGGTTTTTGATACACAGTAGAATTTCATTAACTAATTAAGATTGTTAAAATTTCATAAGTTCAGTGGTCTTATAATTTTTTATATTGTTATTTGACTTTGAAATCAAAATTATAGCCGTAAAACAGATAGGATGCCATACTCTTCTTCTGTATCCTTTTCATCTAGGTTTTCCAATATACTTCAGAATGGTTTATAATACTTTTATGCTATGTTTTTGTCCCTTTTTTTCATTCCTTTCTTTTTTTTATCAATTCTTCCAGAAGTTCGCTTTTCATCTTATTAATTTGTTAATTGTACTTATTGTCTCATTTCATTTGTACCTTGATGACAGTTTTCTTCTTGTTACTTTGGTTCAGATTAACAAACTCAAAATACACAATGGCAGAGCTTACTTAAATTTAAGAACAGATATAGAGGCTGGAGATATAACTCAGTTGGTAGAGTGCTTGCCTTGCTTGCACAAGGCCCTGAGTTAAATCCCCAGCATCACAAAAAAGAAAGAACACATATAGGAAAAGAAACAACATAACATGGACAAAAACTGTTTAACAGAGGTCCTAGGTAATTGGCTATCATTTTATGTTGCTATTTTTCTAACTTCTTGGGTTGACCACTTAACTTTTTGCTTTCCATTGTTTTTGAAACTATATTGAAAGCTATAATTAAAACTATAAACTTCCTACTAATATTGCTTTAGGTCTTGGTGATGGATTTTGAAATGTAGCATTTTTATTATCTTTTAATACTGTGACTTTTTAAATTTCCTTTTGATTTTCTGCTAGCCCAGGGTCATTTAATTATTTGCTTAATTTTCAAGTACATGGGGGGTTTTTTGTAACAGTTGGGAGCTTTGTCTATATTAATCTTTAAGAGTTTGAAGCTTTGACAGTAGCCTAATACATGGTTTCTTTAAATTTTCATACATTTGAAAAAAACATGTTACCTATTGAGACATAAATCCGTATGTTTCTTCTTTTAAATATTTTTTTTAGTTGTATATAGACACAATGCCTTTACTTTATTTATTTTTATGTGGTGCTGAGGATCAAACCCAATGCCTCACATATGCTCTCCAAGGGCTCTACCACTGAGCTACAACCCCAGGCCCCCTTATGTTTCTAAATAGTTTTGACAGTTGTACCCAAATCATTACACTGTATGATTATTTTTTATGTTCATTCTATTCTGAGAGAAATTTATCAAGACTCCTATTTAAAGTGTTGATTTGGTCTGTTTCTCCTAATAGTTTTATTGGTTGTTTTGCATTAATAGTTATATTCATTTTTACAATGGTTAGCTCTTCTCTCTGTGTAGTTCCTTTTACTGGGATTTGGCATTCTTTCTTGTCTTTATGTCGGATATTACAAGTGCTGCTCTAGCTTTCTTTTGATTCAATCCTCTAATTGGCTAACTTTTGTTGGAGATTTGTCTCTTATATAATTCACAAGATTGTTCAATCTTGTCTTTTTACTCAGCCTGAGAATATGTTTTGCTTCACAGTGGTCTTGAATTCAGATTAACAAACACAACACACAATATGCTTCATCCAGCAAAGAGTTTACTTAGATTTAAGAAAGGATATAGGACAGAATACAACATGTACAGAAGTTGTTTGTCAAAAGTCCTAGGTAATTGGAAGGGGAAAAATTGGGGAGAGGCTGTACTCAAAGGAAGCTATTCAGTGCATGGCTGTTTTCCTCAACTCCTTGCAAAACTAGTTTTTTATCAGAGTACATGAATGAGTATTGCCACACTAGTTGTCAAATGTTTTGTTAATCCAGCAAGTTGTACAAGTCTTGTAAACAACATCATGCCTTTGATTCAGGAGACCTGAGTATTACTGATAATATAATCTCTGACAAAGAATCAGGCAATGGTTGTCCCATATGTGGAATTTAAAAACATTCTTTTAATCTGTCTTCTTCTTCCTGCCTCTAGCCAGGTTTTTTTGTTTTTTTGTTTTGTTTTGTTTAAGTTTGACTCTCACTTCCCTCTTACAGCTTTTTTCATGGTTGATTTTTGGGAGGGGAAACAAACAGCAGTCAAAATATGAGACATTTATTTCACATGGTAGGTGCTTAGTAAATATTGTTACGAGTTTAAGCTATTGCGTAGATGATTATAGAGTTTTGAGAATTCCCTAGATCATTTTAGTCATAGAAGTGATTTTATTTTCTCATTAGATACTGCTTTTGCAAAAAATAAAGATGATGGAAAATGGTACTATTTTGATGACAGTAGTGTCTCCACTGCATCTGAAGACCAAATTGTGGTAAGTATATTATATATTTCCCAAAAATTGTGGGATCAACTGTTTTTATGAATAAGAATTCGCAAAATGGAAGGGATGATGGTGTAGTTCATTGGTAGAGGACATGCTTAGTTAGCATGTATGGGTTCAATCCCTATCTTGTACACTGCCCCACCACAAGAAAAAAGGCAAATTAATAAAAGGGGCCCATGGAACACTATTGTATATATTCTAGCATGCCTAGTAGCTAAGAGACACTTGCTCTGATTTAAAGAAACATAAAATTGTACCCTAAATGGACACTTGTCTTCAAATTTGCCCATAACAAAAGCACAAAATGCAGTCTGAAAATTTTTCATGTAACTTGTACAATGGAGTTTCTAATGAAAATTAGTTTTCCTCTAAAAAGTAGGTCAGCTCTTACCATTTTAGATATTGACTACTTAAAAGTCAAAATCCTTTAAATGCCTTACCATACCTATGATCTTTAAAGCCTAAGACAATTAGACATTTAAGTTCAAAATGACATAATCTTTTAAAAATTATTAACTTCTTTTAAACAATATAATTTTTAAAAGATTAACTCCTTTTGTATGCTTGTTACTCTGGTGTTCTGTGACTAGTAGAAAAATAAGAATGTTACATCTGTTTACGCTGGCATTCATTTATCATCCACATTTGTTGTGTTTTACATCTGAGCAGATTTTCAGATGTTGAGATGGAAAATGACTAGTGTGTTTTTAGAAGAAAGTTAAAAATTGTTTAATAAGTGTTTATTTTTCTATAAATTTTGCAGCTCTATAAATTTTACCCATTGTTAGAATACTACGAAGAGTGAGAAATATTGTATTTGCTCATATGATAGTATTATTCAAAAGGCTTTCTGTTGATGTGAGAAAAACTAACTTACTTTATTTCCCAGATTAAAGTATGTTCCCTGAGGGCAAAGACTAACTTTTTAGTTTTTGATGCTTTAAAGTCTTCAGTTTATAAAAGCAAATTGATAAATTTCTGAGCCCAATTATTGGCATAGTTTTATTCTGTCCTTGCATGAATAGCACTGAAATGTTTGTTTCTCTCTTCCCTTTTTCTCTCCTTCCCCGTGTGTGTGTGTGTGTGTGTGTGTACAGTCATATATCACTTAAAATAGGAACACATTCTGAGAATGCATTGTTAGGTGATTTGTTGTACAAATAGCATAGATTATTCTTACACAAGCATAGATTATATAGCCTACTACACACTTAGACTATATTATAATCTTACGTGATAACCATCATATATGCTTTCCATCATTGACCAAAATGTCATTCTATGGTGTGTGCCTAAGTTAACATTTCCAATTTATACTTAAACTCCTCATTCTTTTGTCCTCAATTTTTTTCTGTTCTCTTTTATCTCCTAGCCCAAATATCCTAAAATGGCCAACATCCCATCCTTCAAAGTCTCTTTAACATTATTGCCCTAGTCTCCCTTTCAAGTAATTTATCTTATTTATATACACTACATGAATTTGATTTTGCCATGCATTTAATAATGATGGTTCTTTGTGTGTGTGTGTACATACACACAATCGTGGGTCACTTAACAGGGATTCATTCTAAGAAATGCATCTCTAGGTGATTTGTTGTGCAAACATCACCAGTATTTGAATACCTTACTTACGGATGTGGTGTCTTTTATATGAGGGACTCTATTACAAGCAGCATTAAAAGACAGCTATATCTCTTCTGGGTAGTGCACACCTATAACACCAACTATTCAGGAGGCTGAGGCAGTAGGATCGAAAGTTCAAGGCCAGGCCTAGCAATTTAGCTAGACACTATCTCAGAATAAAAAATTTAAAATGTGCTGGGGTTGGAGCTCAGTGGTAAAGCACCCCAGTGTACAATCCCCAGTACCTTAAAAAATAAATAAATAAAATAAAAAAATAAGACAACTATCCAAGTTAATAATTGTGTTATAAGTTCCATTAAATATTTTACTATGGTTACACCTGAGATAGATGTCTCAACTCAGATTTGGAGTTTAAGCAAATAAGACTAAGGAAATCCTCATAGTGAAAGTGCTATTTGACCTGAGTCTACTAATACAAATGAGTAAATTAAGGAAGCAAAGGGGTTCTAAGCAAAAAGAACAATACTGCAAAAGAAAGGAGACATGAGGGCAGGATGTTTTAAGGGCACAAAATGTTCTTGTAGGAATATGGGGAAGTAATTAGGCTAGAGATAAATTTAAGTCTTAAAGAAAATCAGCATCCCAGTTGTTTAAATGTTTCTTTAAAGACTGAAAAACCAGCCAGGTGTGGTGTGGTACACATCTGTTATCCCAGTGGCTTGGGAGGCTGAAGCAGGAGGATCATGAGTTCAAAGCCAGCCTCTGAAATTAGTAAGGTTTGTCTCAATTAGCAACACCCTGTCTCAAAATAAAAACTGAAAAGGGCAGGGGATGTGGCTCCTTGGTTATATACCCCTGAGCTCACAATCCCTGGTACCAAAGAAAAAGAAAAAAGACTGAAACCATTAGATGATTGTTAAGCAGTAGAGTGACATTATTAAATTTGTATCTTAACTTCTCTACAAGAGCATTTAGATTTAAAGCACTGAGTAGAGAAAGTAGAAAGTCCATACAGAAGGCTGTCACAATTAACTTAATCAAATTAGTGGTAGTGCCAGTACAGACAAGGGGAGAGTGAATTTGAGAGAGATTTACAGTATAAAATAAATAAAATTTTATAAATAATGATGTAGAGATGCAGGAGGGGAAAGTTGAAGGTGTCTCTTACTTTAACATTAACCGAGATTGGGAATTTAGGAAGAAAATTTGCTGTGTAGTTTGAAGTACCTATATGATAGTTATCGTGTAGAAATTTCTACTAGGTAGTTGTATTAATAAGATGAGTTCAGAGGGTGATAAGTGGTTTAAATTATAAATTTGAGGAGTTCAGAGTTGATCGCTGGTTTAAATTATAAATTTGAGTTGTCAGCCTTAGGTAGAAGTTGAAGCCAAAAGCTTGAATTAGTTATCTAGTGAGAGGATACAAATTGAGAAAGAGAGTTGAGCTGAGTGCAAAACATAAAGGTTAGGATTTAATGAAGCCACAGAATAGTCTGAGAAGAAACCTGAAGAGATAGTAGAAGATCTAAAGAGAACTGGTATCACAGAAGCCAAAAATTGATGAAGGGAAAAGTAGTAGGTAGGACATTAAATACTATAGAGAAATTCGCCATTTACGTTGTTGTTCAGAGGTTATTGACCCAGTGAAAGTCAATTTATTAAAATGGTTTGGGCAAAAGTTAGATTACATTGAATTGAGTTTGTGTTGAGAGTGAGTTATGGGTATAGACTACCCTATCAGCCTAGTTGTAAGGAAGAAAGAAGTATGTGGCATCTAGAAGGGAGGTAGAATGGTAGGGGATTTATGATGAAAAAAAAAACTTAAGTATTCTTTAATGCCAAAGAGAAAAGTTCTAGAAGATAAAGACTCATTAAAATATACAATGAGTGGGGCGTGGTGGCACACACCTGTAATCCCAGTAGCTTGGGAGGTTGAGGCAGGAGAATCACCAGTTCAAAGCCAGCCTCAGCAATTTAACAAGACCCTGTCTCAAAACAAAAAATAAAGTGGGCTAGGAATGTGACTCAGTGGTTAAGTACCTCAGGGTTAAATCCCGGTACCAAATAAAATAAAAAGATACATAGTGATTGGGTGGAGGGGATGCTCAGCAATAGAGTGCTTACCTAGTACTCATGAGGAGGCCCTGGGTTGAATCCCCAGCAGCACCACAAGCATACCCCCACCATTCACACACACAGAAAGACACAGTGGTAATTGATGGAAAATGTCCTTAATACAGTAGAAGAAGTTGGACTATAGAGCAAACATGGGATGAAACAACTATTAGATAAAAAGCTCACCTTTTCCTTAGAGAAAAAAGGAAGGAAGACATAGAATTCTATTTCATGTTAGAGTAACTAGGTTAATCTATTCTATAGTTGTGTTTATTTCTTAATCCAAATAACAGAAAAAAAATTTAAGCATTTTTCCTTTACATGTAGAAATCATATTTACTTAATTTTAGTAACTTCCATTTGAACCATGTGTGGTTTTTTTCTATTTGATTTGGGCCTCGTTAACAAATTGATACCAGGTAAAATACTCATACTATAGTTAATGTGTTCTTTAAGAATTGTGACCATTTTAACACCCTTTATTTGTTTTGACAGTCCAAGGCAGCATATGTACTCTTCTACCAGAGACAAGACACTTTCAGTGGAACTGGCTTTTTTCCTCTTGACCGAGAAACTAAAGGTGCTTCAGCTGCCACAGGCATCCCATTAGAAAGTGATGAAGATAGCAATGATAATGACAATGACATAGAAAATGAAAACTGTATGCACACTAATTAATGAAAGTCCTAGAAGCCATAAAAGAGAGACTTCCTGCTGGTGGTATCTATGGAAACGAAGTTACCCACCACATTAAAACAAGTCTGAGATGGGGAGTTTCAGATAACCGAATGTAAATCCTTTATCAGATTTTAACTTGTGCAGTACTTGAAGTGAAACACAATGAAAACTTTAACAGAAATTGTCTCATAATACATTTACAGTCTTGTATTTACAAGCTAAATATATATAGGAAATCACAAATAAATCCCTTTTAAGTTTGCTGCTGTTTTGATGAATTATGTTTTCTTTAATTTTTTGGATGTGAGTTGATGACAAATGTTAAATTTGTGGATGTTGGTCATTTATTTTGCTCTGATTATACTGCAAGGAAACTATGAACTTAGTTTTTGGATAATCTAGTTCATGTGCATTAGGCTGCCATATATACTACTATAATGTTTTAGCTGCAGTATCAATATGGCGTAAATACTGCAGTAGTGCTGGAAAACCAAATTTTCAAATCTATCCCTGGTAATCAATGTGGGCCTATTAAAAAACCAAATCATGATACAAGAAACAATCATGATAAGTCATTTCCTTTTTTAGTATCATTAAATATCCAGTCTATTATGTTCATCTTATTGCCACTATGGAAACAGGTTCTAGATTTCACACTACATTCTAAAATCATTTTTCTGTTACATGTAAGTATTTTTTACTGATATTGGAATCTTAGATATGCAAATTTTTCTTTACATGCTGTAAGATGCTGTCTTTAATCTGGTGTTGGTCCAAAACTAAATTTTTGCTGCCTGTTTTTCTCTACCCCATTTTTTGGTAATTTGGCAAGTTTTAGCTCTCCCAATTATTGTAATATAAGGACATACTTAGTAGTATTCTGTATCCATAGTAATAACTGCATCAAACTTAGATGAGAGTTTTTTTTCATATACTAGCCTTTAAATCATTAATTGACAATTGGCTATAAAGGTAGGTCTGTTAACTTTCTTTGTGTGTTCCTGATGGAATTCACCATAGCCTTACAGCTTTTCTCAGAAGGTAACTTGTTATAAGAGCAATGGCATTTGCATGTTCCAGAGTCAGAACCTGTACAGTATATAAAGCATACAAACCTTGAATTTGATTTTAGTTCACCACATTCAAGGATCCAGGATGCCAAATATATGTGTGAACATTTGAAGCATTTTCATTTGCTGCTTTTTTCCCTTTGATCTAGTTGAAAGAATGTATTGTCGATTGGCATACAAAACTGCCTTTTAATAGAAAATCTAAATGCTGGGGCACATTTCACATATCGACTACCTGAGAAATTGCTTTGTGTCCCACTGTTAATAAAGCAAAAAGTATAATGTTCTTCACTTGAACTAATCAAATACAATAGATTATAAATTGTGTATTGTAAATAAAAGTTCACTCTGTGAGTGCACATTTTGGTAAATTATTTATTTATGTTAGCATTTTAAAGTAAAGGAAAAAAAATGCATTTGACCAGGATAAATGAGGTATGTTAATCATGGCTTTGCTTTATACCTTGATATTAAAGCTGGTTTTTCATCCTGGTATTTTAAAAGCTGCTTTGGGTTTTTTTTCTTTTTTCTTTCTTTCTTTCTTTTTTTTTTTTTTTTTTTTTTTAATGTAAACTAACCTCCTGCATGACAGAGGTTAAAATTTTGTCTGCACTTGGGTTCACTTGAGTTTACATTTGAAATGTGCATGTTTATTTATACAGATTTCAATAAAGCTATTCAAGGCCTTATTTAGTCTTTTATTTCTTACTCTAAATATTTTGATAAAATTTTTGTATGAGTAGACGACTGTATGCTAGACTTTTTAATTATATAGTTAATATTAGACAGGAAAGCATGTCAGAACAAAGTGAATCCTACTATTAAAACATGTTTTAAAGTAGATTTTTTTTTAACTAAAAAATTCATTCATTAAAAAAAAAAATATTTGTGTACTTGCCAGTCACTGTCCTGGAGTCTGGAGATAGAGAGTAAACAAATAATCTCTGCCCTCACAGAGCTTACATTCTTTCTGCCCTCCACTAAATAATAGATTGTATTATTTTTTTTTAAGTTTAGAAAAGGTCCAAGTGAACTTTTTCAAGACCTAGATTTAGTCTTTACCCTAATTCTCCATAGAGACCACTTCCTTTTTTTATGCCTGTCATTAATAATAATTAATAACACCATTGATTATGTCAAACTCAAATGTCATTTTTAGCTGTAAAAAATAACTTTAAAATTGTGCAAAAGGATAATAATATAACATTAATTAGATATCCATAGGTAATACAGGGTAGTACAAATATATCTAGGTTAGAATTCTTCTAGCCTTGCCAGTTAGTAATTATTTACTATGGACCAGGCATTTTAGTAAAGTGCTTACATGCATTGTCTCAATGCTACAACAGATATGTGGTAGGGACAGTCATCATCCTCACATTTCATATGGAGAAACCAAGATATGAAGCATTTAAGTAATATCCCCAAGTTCACACAATTACTATGTGGTATGGTATTCTAAAGATAATATACTACCTCTCACTGTGTTAAAATGTCTGCCTCAGGATTGTTGAGAGTTAATTTGAGATCGTGTATTTTATGGAAAGAGATTTGTAAACTGTGTGATATCCTCATTAAAAGTTTCTTTAGTCTGAATGGAAAATCATCTTGAAGTCTAATGGCTTTACTTCCAAAAGTATATTCAGTCTCCATCTCTAAGTATTAAATAAGAAGAATACTGGCTAGAATACTGACTAACCTTTGCCTCTTAAAATTAACTTCACAAATTTATGTACATTTGTTACTATTTTAATTAAATGTTAAATATAAGATGGCTTTTCCTCCTTCATCTAAAAACATGCCCTTCTTTGAACTTCCCCAGATGCAACCATAGTTTCCAGACTATTTTTCTGATATTTTTCTCATAATTTAGCTTGAATTGATCTCCATGAAAAAGCTTCAGCCTCTGATTCTTTAAATATCTTGCTTTCTCCTGTAATCTGTGTACTTTGAGTAGTAATGTATTTATCTTTGCTTTTGTAACAACTGGATATAAAAAATACAAAGCATTGATTTGGAGACAAAGAAAATTAGCAAGTACCAAATTAGATATAGTGTAAAGGCAGTGCATTGTTGTGTATTGTTCATTATCAGTTTTACAGTGAGAAATATGCCATTTTATAAGTGTAGGCTTAGGGCATCACAAGTCATTATGTGTTTTAGGTGCTTAATTCATACTTTATATTAAGGAAAAGAATTTCCAGATACCTCTTGATAATAAAAATTTTCACTTTAACCTGAGTTAAGGAAAAAACCTGTTTACTGTGTTCGTATTTTTATAAGCTACATAGAATAACTTCAAAATAACAGAATTTGGAATATATAATATAGAGAGTAAGGCCTGGCAAATAGCTTCCTGGCTACTCATTATGCTACAGCAGGAGGATCCCAAGTTTGGGTGTAGCCTCAGCAACTTAGTGAGACCCTATCTCAAAATAAGAAGGGCTGGGGATGTGATCAAGGTCGAGTGCCCCTGTGTTCAATACTGAGTACCACAAAAATTTAAAAAAATATATACATACAGTTCAAAAATTATTTTTGGCAAATATATATATATATATACACGGGGAAACAAACTTACCCAACATCATACCTTGGTCTAATTATTCCCTGGCTCTGTCTCTGGGAGCCTAGAACTTGCCAAAGTAGTGAAAGGAAAAGACTCTAGGTTTTCAAGGGGACTCTAGAAAGAAAATAAAACCATTTAAGGAAAGTCAAGAATTGATATATAATACTTTGTTCTAAAATCTCAAAAGACAAATGGGTTGGTGGTCTCTCTTTTTTTTTTTTTTCCTTTCTAGAAATGGGAAGCAAATCTAATTCTACAGAGTTGCTAAAAATACAGCTATTTCTTGTTCTCTTAAATGAATATGCTGTAATAATAAGACTATACACTTTGTGCACAAAATTTAGTATTTCAAAAGTTTAAATTTTTTTAGCTGGGCAAGGTGACATACACCTGCAACCCCAGCAGCTCAGGAGACTGAGGCAGGAGGATTGAAATTCAAAGCCAGCCTCAGCAACTTACTGAGATCCTGTCTCAAAGAGGCCTGGGGGTATGGCTCAGTGATTAAGCTTCCCTGGGTTCAATCCCTGATATTTAACCTATATTCTACAGTAAAAAGTCATGCTTAAGGGTTGGGGTTGTGGCTCAGTGGTAGAGCGCTCGTCTAGCACGTGCAAGGCTCTGGGTTCGATCCTCAGCACCACGTAAAAATAAAGATATTGTGTCCATCTACAACTAAAAATAAATTTTTTTTTTAAATCATGCTTAACTTTGGCATTTACTATGAGTTTTTTCCCCCTCAAATCAGAAACTTTTAGGTAATTCTGTATAATTTGGGGTTTGGGGGGGGTAGTTTCAGCCAGGCACTGAGGCACACACCTATAATCCCAGCAACTCAAGAGGTTGAAGCAAGAGGATCACAAGGTCAAAGCCAACCTTGGCAACTTGTCAAGACCCTGACCCAATATAAATTTTAGAAAGGGCAGGGAATGTAACACAGTGGTAACCCCTGGGTTCAATCCGCAGTAACAACAACAACAAAAAAAAAATGCATTTCTGTGACTTTGTTACTAGTTGGAGTTAAATCCACATACACAGAAGTAAAACGATAAGGAAACAACAGTCCTTTCCCATAATGTAGAAACAATCCAATAGTCTTCCCATTAAAAAAAAAAAAAAATTCACTTTTTAGTTGTAGATGGACACCTATCTTTATTTTATTTATTTATTTTTATGTGGTGCTGAGGATTGAACCAAGAGGCAAGCGCTCTACCGCTGAGCCATAACCCCAGTCCCTTCCCATTTTTCCAGTAATGACAAATTCTTAACATTTTCCAAACTGTTGTTTTAAGCCTCAAATATCATCTCATTTTTAATTCTTAGTTAAGATCTTTCAGAATTCCTAAACTTTGTAACATCTCAAATAGAAGTCTTATTAAAATATTTTGTTTTATAACATTTTTAAAAAAAAAAAAAGACTATAAAGAAATTCTAGGTTAACAGACATTGTAACTCCTGTTCTGCCTCTGCTCATTTCTCTTAGGTAATGCTGAATTTTAACTAATTTAGACTCATTAAAGTGTTCTGCTTACATCTGTCCTTAAGTGTGTGCCTTCTGTCTTCCAACATTGTATTATCCCTGTACGTAGTGAGGACATTTAATTTTCTTTAAAATGAGAACCATTT